GTGGAAGTAAGAAATTACATCAACCAACAAAAAATTTTTAAAATAAATAAAGAAGAAGGAGAAGAATATTCAGCTGTCATATAATTAAAATTTATCATTTTCTTACAAATTAAAAATTAAAATTCTTGATATCCTGATTGGGATATAAATTTTCTTGATATCCCAATCGGGATATCGAATTATATGCTGATCGGGATATAAAAAAATTTTTGCTGCAAAAAATGATATCCCAATCGGGATATATATCCCGATTGGGAGTACATCCCGACCGAGATATGTCTCCACACTGCTATTGCTTATATGTAATCTAAAATTAAACATGGAAACATCCTTTCTCTCTATTCTGTCCTTCCTGCTAAACTTTGTTGTTCAGCATTATCTCTCGTCTTCTGTTATTGTTGTTGTTGTATAATATACTTTTTTTTTATTATTGTTTAGTACACTTTTATTTTATCTTTTTTTACTTCACTTTTTGACAGCATGTAATGGGGTGATACTTCGATTTGTTGTATTTTTGAATAAAAAAAAAGATTTTTGTAACATAGATGATTCTTCCCAACTTTCATATAATCTTTATTTCTATTCATTAGAAAATCGACAAAAGTACAAACGAGTATACACTCTACAATATGTAGTTCTATCAGAGCAGTAACAAAAGAAAACAAAAATAAGAGATCGACAGTGTTGATAATATAGATAAACCACAAAAAAAATGTCAATAAAAAATCACGAATCAATTCTTATCAGGAATCATAGAAAAATATCAAAAATTCGATCACAAAAATAAATGAAATAGCTTTTAGAGATCTAATACGTGTGAAGAAAAACAAACTACATACAGATTTAATTACATGAAAATGAAAAAAAAGCTGTATACAAGAATTTTATCAACTAGAGATATGTCACATATTTCTGGAATATAGGAAACTATAAGACTAAAAATGTTGTTAATGAATGCAGAAACGATATAGTTCTCTTCATCATTAGTGCTTCGAATCTAGGAAAATTTTAATTTGAAAAACTGAACAATATTACCTCTCCCTCTCTCAAATATATAGCCAGTTCAAAATATAAGTACAGATTGAAAAAAAATATAGAAAACTCTAAACGTCAAAGTCTTACAAAACAAACAAAAACAATTATCATTTATTTGAATTATTATTTTCTCCGTTTTTTCGTTGTTGTTATTGTTTTAGCTCTTCTTTTTGGTTGTTTACGTTTCATTGAATTATCGCTACTGGTTGCACTTACAGCGTCTGCATTATCATCATCATCTGTCTCTTGATTATTCTTTTTTTTTTTAACAAACATATCAAACATCATTTGTAATTGTTTACCATCTTTATGTTGTTGTTCTTGTTTTTGCATATCGACAAGATTTTGAATTTTATTCATAAAACGTGGATCATAAGTATTTCGAATTATTGCAGCTTCATATTTATCGGCCAACTGTTTATTATTCATTTCACTTGTTTCTAATTCAGCACTTTTTTGTTGAAGACTATGTTTTGTTTTATTCAAATCGGCTAACACTTGATGTAATTCTTCTTTAAGTGATTCAATTTTTGTTTGAGATGCAATATTTTCAGTTGATAAACGATCTTTACCAGTTCTACATTGAAGTAATTCTGTTGCTGTTTGTTGAAGATCATATTGTATATCCGTCAAACTTTTTGCATAATTTTGTTCAATTTGACAGTGTTTTTCTACTTGTTCACGTAGACATTGATTTTCCGTCAATAAACATTTGTGTTCATCACTTTGATTTTGCAGTTGATTGAGTTGTTGTTGTAGATCTTCACGTTTCAACAATTCTAATTTCATTTGTTCAATAAAAAAATGGCCTAAATAAGAAAAAGATATCAGCTCTTTTCCAATGGCTGCTTCGTTATAGATAAAATGCAACATATAGTTTGCAAGTTTACTGATGCTATAATGGTTGCACGAAAAAACTTTTTATATTTGATTCTCTCAAGTCTATTTTTAACTAAAATATCCTTTATAAACGAAATGGCTTTTAACAAGTTTTGTCTGTATTTGTCAGCTCAAATAGATAATTTACAGTTAGATATATTAACTTTTTTCAATTTTATTCTACATACGTTCATTTAACGCTGATTGTAATAAAGTTTTACATGCTTCATAATCGTCAGTTTTTTTTTGTAAAGTTTGTTGAGCTGATTGTAATTGTATATCAGAATTTGTTAGATGAATTTTCTGTTCGTTAATGATGCGTTCATACTCTTCTAATTTTTTCTTTATCACGTCGTTAAATGTGCCATGTTCACTGCTAGAATTAGATGATTGTGTTCTTTGTCGTGGAGATAAACTTGTTGCCATCACTCGTTTCATTTTAACTAATATTCCCCCAATGTAGTGAGGTTCAGCTGTAGAAGAGAAAGAGAAATTTTATCTATGTTTGTTAAAAGTAATTAAAAGCTCGTAATCATCTTGTCACAAGAGCTTTAAATTACTTTGCTTTTATGTGGACTTTTGTCTACCTTTCAACTACATTCAGAAATTCTCAGGAGAATGACACTAGTCAAATATATATCGAATCCAAACGAAAATAATATTTGAGCTGACATAAAATCAGAACCGTTCGTTGATTTGGAGAGATTTGAACAAGACTCAGCGAAATTTAGTCCAAAAAGTAAGAATCAGCAGATTTCGAGTTTTATTCGTGAATAATAAATTTTAATGTTTCGGCTATATTTTGCTATAAAAAGATTTTTTTTATAGGAAAACGCTGTGAAACCTCATACCATAAAATATTGTAAGTGGTAAACACGTTAAAATTACATTGTAAAAATTGTTTTCGATATAATAAACGAGTTTCAAATATGAATCTAGGCCGAGTTGGTTACTTGCTACGAGAAAATTTTCGACTTTCAACATGAAGTCTAAGAGAAAAAATATTTTCTGCGATAAGAAGGTTTTTATAAATGAATTTCATTTAGAACTATGCTAAAATGTTTGTCTGTATCTGTATATTTGAAAACAGCATGAAAAACTGCATAGGATGACGTATAGATCAAAAGTTTTTAAAAGAAAAAGATGTCAGTAAAAAATTTCCGTCGTTTTCGTTACTCTTCCAAATTTCTGAAAGTTTGAAACTTTTTCAAGATAGTTTTTTAATGATATGAGTATCTTAATCGATGACCATCGATATCAGATCAAAAAGACTGTTTATCAAGAAAAAAATGTTCACTGAAGTTTGTCATAGTTTAGTTAGTATTAAGTATTTACCTAGCAATATTTTATCTACAACGTCAAACGAATTGAACGTAATAAAATAGCCATCGTTCCGCTTATATATCAAATGAGTAATTTTTCCATAAAAATAAAAGTAATTTTTTACCATTGTTTCATCGAGTTGTTGGGTATTTGGAATATGCAGTGTATTTGAATCAAAACACCCTAGCTCATCAGGTGATCGATAACGTCGAATATTTAAATATTGTTTATGAATTTGATGTTGTGAATATTCTGACATAATTTCATCGATAACACTAATACGTTCAAATGTAATTAGAGCTAAATTGTTTTTATGACGAAGTTGAATTTGAACAATTTTATCATATTGCGAAAAATAATCAATCAAATCTTGATGACCAATAAAGGATGACAAATCGGTGACACAAATTGTACGATGACGTTGACGATGAAATTTTGACATATCTATCTCAAATTCAGACATTTTTTTTCTTTTTCAACACTAGGGACGAAATCTACAAAGAAAATAGAAACACAAAATGTACGATTGTAAAAAAACAACATGGGATTTTTATTTAATACTGTCGGTAAACTGTTTCAAATTTATTCACTTTTTTGTTTTAAAAGTTTGGTTACAGTATATACTAACGACAAAAAATTACGAGATCTCTAACTTTTCTCCCACTGATTCGTCGAAATACATGAACTTTGCCTTGAGTTACACAGTGAAGCAATACTGCCGTACAGTCCGTTGCAGAATGTTCTACGGTGACTGCCATCTGTGACTATCGACCCGTCTAAAAATAAACTGATAACTGTTTCAATTTTGTTTGTAGCTAAATTCATTTTATTTCAATTTGTAATTTATTTACAATAGATATTTCGATGCTACCGTATCATCGTCAGTACAAGATTTGAAAGTACAAGATTTGAATGAAAATTCAAAACAAACTAAACTAACACATATTTTGACTAGTTGAGGCAGAACGGAAAAAAGAGTAAAAAAAAAGGACCTCGTGTATGTTTAAAAATATCCTTAGAAAACTGTCAACGATATTCGTTTTTTTCTGATGGTATTTTGAAAATACCGCGTAATTTACCACAACTATGCGGAACGGTATTTTCTTTCTAACAGCGATATAGCGCACCATGTACCAGCATTTGACCGGCGGTATTTCGTCGGTATTCAAGACACGAACTAGGACTGGAAGTTAAAGTCAACGCGCTACAATCAGTGTAAACTCATACTGATATACTCACGACTTAAATTAGTTTTTACGCCAATAGTATCACTAGATTAAAATACGCTAGGAGCAAATCACTACAATCAACTCAAAAAGTGACGCAAATTACGTTGATTGTAGTGATTTGCTCCTAGCTCATCTTAACCCATCGCTATAGGCGTAATGCTGAGCTTATTATAACGGGTGAAGATAATCTTTCATTAAAAATCTCTTCCATTAAGCACCAGTGTCAACGTACATTACTTGATGTGATACTGGCAAAGAAATTTTAATGAAAGCTTAATCTTGACTTTTATCTCGATCGCGCACTTTTTCATTATTGAAGAATAAAAAGTCATTGGATGGAAGTTTCCAATCTCAACAGAAATCATTCATCTTGAAGATTTCGTTAACTGTTTCTTTAATCTCCATCTACTCAACTGCAATTACCGATATATTTCGCATTCTACATTATAGAGGACGCTCTAATCCTGAACATAACGGGTGATGCAAAAGTTCTGCATTAATTTTGTCTTTGATACAGCGTTGCAATGGTATATCAGAGAGATTTTATCCTTTTTTTGTTAGAAAGAGCAAAATGTCTAGTACAAAAATATATAAAAGTATTTGATCAGGAATGTTTCCCGAAGGCCACAAAAATCTTAGAACAAGAGGCATCGGGAAACTGTTCCGTAACCTTTTCGAATTTAGAAAAAACTTCGCTCAATAAGAAAGTTTATCTTTTTATTCGTTTTACTCCGAGTTTTATAATGTTAGGATTGTTGCATAAAACAGAAATTTTTTTCGTGTTTTATAACGGTCGAAATGAACGTTTTTATAACATCCTATTTTACCACCGATTTTTCATCACTGTCGATCGCAATCGAAAAAAGAGATTCTAGTCTTAGAGAGAAGTTGTTTGAAACTATATACTTTGCATGAAAAAGAAAGCTTATTGAGTCCTCTACCAAACGAAATTATTTGGAACAACTTCATATATATGGTGCCCAAAGGTCAAACAAATATATTTGAATACAAAAATTGTGACCGAAGTTGCGCAAGAGTTTCCTGATGCCTTTTGTTCTAAGATTTTTGTGACCTTCAGGAAACTTTCCCGATCAAATATTTTTATATATTTTTGTACTGGACATTTTGCTCTTTTAACAAAAAAAAGGATAAAATCTCTCTGATGTACCATTGCAACGCTGTAATGCAGAACTTTTGCACCACCCGTTAGTATACCAAATAGCATCTAAAAAAATCTAAATACTATCTCAAACCTCATTTGGTTCTTTTAAATAAGGAACGTTAATTCGATGGATTTCTTGCACGAAACGAGTCGTTTTTTAATATTTCATCATACCACTACTGTAGGGAGCTGTTTACAGCTAGTCGTCGTGAGCCACTTGCACGCATGAAGACGCAGAAACTGACTTGCGGTGCCCTGGTTGAAACTCCCGACAAAACTCCCCTAGGACTCCTGTCACGGGCTCAGGTGGAACTTTTAAGGGACTCCTGAGAACTAGAGAGTGTTAAAAGTCCGCGAGAGTCATGAGGAGTCCCTTAAAAGTTCCACCTGAGCCCTTACGGGATCCGATGACAGGAGTCCTAAGGGAGTTTCAACTAGGGTGCCTAACATAAAACAATCCTGCGAACGATATTTGGTCAAGATAATCTTTCTACAATTTTATCAGACGGGACAAAAGCTGAAAATGTTTTGTCAATCGTGAATGTAGGAAGAAAAATTATCGAATAGTTACCTTGGACTGCCGGACAATTGTATTAAATCTGCAGTCAAAATCGTGGATTTGACCAAGCAGCGATGTCCGTAATCGGATCACCGAGGAGTGACTAGTGTGCGAAAAATCTGAGTCACATCATTTAGAAGTCACAAAGAGATTTCTGCTATATGTAAACGATAATACATTTTACTAAGCATTTATAAAATGAAAGCTCTTCTTCCTTCAGTCCTACTGCATTACACAGAAATTTAAATCGATGCATACAATATCAGATAATAGCTAAAATAGGCTTTGAACCATGTAAGAATTTTCTCCTGACCTCTAATGATCACTGATCATCTTAACTTTTGAAGTTGAATCGTCTGTACGCATCGCTAACTAAACATTTGCCCATAAAAGTTCGTATTAAAACAAATATTAGACGAAGTGAGATGTTCTTCTGTAGAACAATCTTCTTTTGCAGTTATCTTCGATTAGAAATAGCTGAGAACGAATGGTCGACGCAAAGAAGAAAAGTATGTAAAAAGAATTCTGCTTCCTGATCAAACAAAAAAAATTATCCGAAATTCACTTAGTGAGCTCAACTAACTCCAAACTCTACGCACTTAAAACTATTGATATTCTATTTCTCAAAGCCAGTCTCAGAGCTTTCATCGTACTAATTCTTCAAATAAACTCACCTTTGATGTAGAGCCCTGCAGGTCACGTATAACCTGTCCTGGCAGGTTAGGACAGGTTTAGGTTACGCCTTCGCAGTTCAGGATAGGTTATAGGTTGCGAAAATTTTTACAGGTTACACTACCCGTAGCCTGTTTTCAACGTTTAAAAAAAATATTAAGCGTCATCTGTAAAGAGGAAGGAATAAGAACTCGAAAGATAGTTTTTATTAATCAAAAAAAATATTTAGTGCATCAGGAAGAGTATTGGAAACATGAAGACAGTCGTTGAATCCAGATGTTGTTGACGATATACTATTCATCAGAAATTTCAGAGAGATGTGATATTTTGTTGTTGTTTTTTGCTGCATAAATAAAGTAAATGAAAACAATTTACTTTATTAGAAAAAATTTTCGAACTTGGGCACTCAGTTTTTACAGTAATCTTTTCGCAGGACAGGACGAACAGGTTACGCAAAAAATATTGCAGGTTAGGATAAGTTACGAGGTATAAGGGTATGAAAGGTTGTAGGTTGCTAAAGTTTTTATAAGACATATTATAGGTTATGTTATGAAAAAGCTGTAACCTGCAGGGCTCTACTTTGATGTACTAAAAATAAAATATAAAGTTTAAAACCGCGAGACAAGTTAAACAATTCTGAAATTATATCGGTAGAGTATATTTACAGGAGCTGTGAACAAAATGAAAGACTATTAACTAAAAGTTCAGTCTCATTAAATGTCATGGCACACATCGCTAATACTTTAGAATACAACAGAATATTTTAGGATGCTGTTATAAAACAAATGATTAATACCAGTCTGATTGCAAATGTGAAACTTGTATTAATTAGAAATAAGCTGATGATTCGTCCATGCAATATCTTTTTTTTATTTAACATACACACCACACACATCGAATAAAAAATAGATGAAAAAATTTTTTTTATCGCCTCGAACTGTTTTTATCGATTACAAATACAAACAAATTTCCTAAAGAAAAAATGAGTATATACTATCCACAACTAACTATGAAAAAATTTGTCTAATTTTTCTCCACTTTCTAATTTTTTTTCCATTTCAATTAATTTGGTGACACTATCGAGTACATGTTGAATTATTTCCACCTAAGCAAAAAACAAAAATGACATTAAGACTTTTTCTGTTCTTTTTGGTAAAAAAGAACTGAGCTTTGACTATCAAATAATAATCGATGTCTGTCTAGCTGTCTATTTTTGACTAGTATGTATAGATTAGGTTCCTACCTCTGTTTTTCCAATTCTATCTTTGTTCGAGATATCAATACAATCATCGGATACTTTATCATCAAGACCGATTATCTCTTCCATATTTAAATTTAATTCTTTAATAATAGTTGGTAATCGAATATCTTTGGCTAAATTTGGTAATTTTAAATAGATATTATATTTTAATCCTGTGCCAATATTCACAGGACACGTCGTTAGAAAACCAAAGTGATCATCATGTGCAAATGCTAAATCGTTTGAATTCATATTGGTTTCTAACTAAAACAATAAAGCGATAACTTTACATTAATATATTAGAAAAGAAAAGATTAAACTTACTAAATTAAGACCGTCAAATAATGTTTTTATAACTATTTTCAAATCAGATATTGAATTATTTTTACTCCAACTTATTAATCTTAAATGATCTTTTTGATTGATCCACGCATAAAAATCTTTATCCTGATTAAAATATAATGAACGACCATCTGGCCAATCACGAGCAATTCCAGAACTTAACCATGACATTGACATTGGTTTAAATAGAAATATACCATCCTAGAATAATCACAATATTGTTGTGTAATTCTTTAGTGATAAATACACGTATATTATTCGTTGATTTTCTAATGTATATCAGAGAAAAACGATCTTTCTTTATCAGACCTACTTGTTTATATATTTGCTTACATTGACTAGTTTCTCTTGTAATCTTTCATCGAGAGTCAATAATCGATAATAACTTCCTGTATACTTTTTATCATATTCGTCATTTTGTATTAAATTTTGAAAACATTTTTCTAATTTTGATTCGATTATTCGACGTTCACCTCGTGTACAAAACGAAGGAAATGAAAAATTTTTTAAATTTCTTGTCAAACGAATACGACTAGATAGAATATATTTGTTCGAATTATCATTATCTAATGTAGGATATTTTAATTTTTCATAATCAAAATCATGATATTGTCTGGCACCACTTGCATGGTTATACCGTGCTTTTATGACCGGATCAAATAATTCACTATAAATCTAGAACAGAAAACAGTAAGAGATGGATAGATACAAAATAGTCGAAAAAAACAACAATAAACAACAGAAAGATGAACTTACTTTGTAGGATGCTTCGTCACCGGCAACTATTCCAAAGTACTGTCGACTAAGCATACCGGGATTATCGATGCCCACTTGTATGGCATCATCAATAGTAAAACCGGAGGGAGTTATACGATCTCGAAGTTTGGCATATAACTATAAATAGAAACAAAATACTAAATAAATTATACAAAAATTAAAGTAGACCATTTCTATTCTATCATGACTACAATAAAATCGTAGAAAAAAAACATTAATTGATATCTGAAACATTTTACATAATTCGATACATTTAGCTGGTATAAGAGAAAATAGCATTTTTTCAAGTACGTATATTGCTTTTGACTCATTAATTTAGTTTCACAGTCATTTCAATTCTTCATCAATACATAATTGTACATAAAATTCTTTATCTTTGTCATGGATTTTAAGAATACACCTATTCACGTACCTGTGGTGTCAAATATTTGGCCATTAGATTTGAATGTCTAATTAAATTTGGATATTCTGCTGTGGCCGAGTATCGTTTCAGTTGAAAACTATAACTATTCGCATAGTGGACACTTTGTCGAGTTTGCCATTGCCAATACAAAGTAGCACCGAGTGCTGCGGATGCAATGAATTTTAATTGTTTCGATGTGGAAGGAGATAGTTTCATAAAACGAATATAAGATTTCATATCTTCAATAAAGATGAGCAATAAATATGGAGGAGCAGACATTATATTCAGAAAATTTCCTTTTTCACCTTTCATTTGATACAGGCTGTTTAGATAAGAAGAGACGAGATTTTAACTTACAAAATGCTCGAGCAAGAAAGTACAGCAACTTATTTGAATAAATGATAGTTACGGACGAAAATCGAAGTGCAAACTAAAATTTATGTATATTCGTAGCAAATCGTGTTTTAGTTAAAGTTAAACTCTCTTGACAGTAGTCAAACACATCATCATTTATTCTTTTTTTAAATAAAAACTATACAAAAATGTATATATATCTGACACACATAATTTTTGAGAAAAAAACAAAAATAGACCTGTTCGTTACACTAAAGTAACTAGTAATAAAATGTACCAAAAGAAAAAAAACTATCGTCACTGAATAAAACACACAGAAAAAAAACACATCTGACGTGATTTGTAATAAATAAAAACGATTAACACTGTCTGGAAAACTAATCACTGTTCTTAAATTAAAATTTGTTTATGTAAATGTTTCACTTTTTTTCTACTTGATAAACCAACGCGAACAGAACACGGTGAAACATTGTCAATATCATAATATGGATGAGAACAAGAGGCTGTAAGAGAGAAATAATCAGTATTATACGGTATTAGGTGAAACAAGAATATCCTACCATTTGAAACTGTTTGGTCATTACGAGGCGTTGAAGACGTATCGTGAGATTGACCAAAGTACTCCTGTAACATATAAAACTCAGCATATTACTAGTTAGCTTTAGGCTGTGATATAATTACACGTGAAGGTGAAGTTAGAACATAACACACCAAGACAATTCTTGTACAGCTAACAAACCTGTAGAAACCTAAAAGAGTAAATTTATTCGGTTTTATTTGCTACCTGTTGAAGGATTGTCTTAGTGTTATGTTGTGACTGTACCTTTACGCATCTTCAGTATGATATCATAACGACTCGAGAAAGAACAACGCCACTAAAGTTAATACTACTGGAGTAGAAAACCATTCCTTTTTAGAATGAACAGACATTTAAACTGAGGGATGACGTTAATCTTAAGTGACCCCTACAGTTTCAATCTTTTTTTGCTTAAGTTAGACATACCCAATTGTTGTGATCTTTATTCTTTCGATTAAAAACATCTTTATAAATATATTTTCTTTTTGATAAATCAGGAAATAATTGTAAATTAAATAATCCATTTAATTCAGACGATGTTGTGATAGTTGAAGAAGCTTGTGAGGATGATGTCGAGGAACGACGTTGTTGTGACTGTTGCACGTTCTCACTTTTTTCTTGATTGGTCTGATCGTTTTCTTTCACAATGCTCTGTTGTTTTGTCTTTTGTAATTCACGTTTTTTTTGATGTTTTTCGAGGAAATTTTGGATTAATTTTTGAAGACGATTTCGTCGACGATGTTGATATTTTTTCGAATGCTTTTTTCTTTCATACTTTCTTTTTTCTTTTTCATCTTTATTTTCTTCATCATTATCAGCTGGTGTATTATCAACACAAATCTCAGCTTTATATTGTGATGATACTTTCCCACTACAATCGAAAACAAATGATCAAAGATGAACAAGTCCTTAACTAACTATACATCATACAGACCGTGAGATCCATTTCTCTTTCATTCATCTCTGCGAGTTAGAGAGAATGACAAGACTTTTCAGATTTTTCTATACAATCATGTCTGCATCTTCACAGGCCTCAAGTCTCTGATACATCATAAACAAAAAAAATTCGGCTGTATAGAGAATATCACTGTAAACCTGAACTTTTTTGCTTTTAATTAAAAACAAACCTGAACTGAATAACAGACGATGGTTGAAGTAACGATGTAAATAATACTTCTGATTGTCGATTCGGCATCGAATAACATTGTTCATTATTATAATCGACATAATTAAAAATACTAAACGGCTGAGTGGTTATACAATAGTTTGATATTTCATAATCTGATGGACCTTCGAACATTAAAACCGACAATCAAATCACCATTTTAAATAGAAAAAGATAAAACAGCAATACCTAAACAATCGAGAACCGCATTCTGTAATAAATCTTCATTTACCCCATTAATATTGGAGTTCAATACGAGGGATGGTGATGACGCTAGCGGCTGTTGTTTACCGATTTTTCCACACGGAATTGAGGCTATTAACGATGAAAATGCTAAAAAAAAGTACTAAAGGATAGAATTATTGCTCATGCATATTAAGAAAAGGATGGTACAGAGGACGGTTTAATAGCCTGCCTTAAGAAATTATTTAATACTGAGGTCATACTTGGTTTATGTTTAACTTCGATTTCAGTGTCATCTGCATGAACCAGAAACATGTCAGAAATTTCTCTATTTGATTCTTCTTTAATCTTCTTAATCAAAATAACCTCTTGACAAACACCTGTAAATAAACATAAAAACATTCGGATAAACATATGAACTAACGCGAGAAATGACAGCTTACCAAGTTCATCCATCACATATATTTCCTTATCAAGTAATTCTTCACATAGTTCGTCGTTATTCATCGTTAAAATCAATACTATCTGAAACATTACAAAGAAGTTTAAGACTAACCTACGGAAATCAGATGAACATTTGTTCTTTTAAAGATCTAATGATAGATGAACAGAGAAAACACTAATAGAAAAAAAAATACGGTCAATTCTGAAACAAATGATCCAGTACTCGACGAGACTATCTAAATACTATTTTCTTACGAGACCAAAATAAAACAGATTAACCTAGTAATAATTGTTATAAGAGAATTAGCATATGAAAATATACAAAAGCCTCTCTAATTTTTACCATTGTTTTAGTAGTTTAAAAACTAAGTTAGCTGTTTGATGAAAAGCTTCGCAGATCTCTAAGGTTTTTTCAATGGCAGATTGAGATTTTCATAAATATTCTTAAGTATTTCGGAATAAGCAAACTGAACAAGTTCCATCTCTTCTTTTAATTCGCGCAAGTTATTTATTGTAAACATGTTCATATGGTTAATCACAATAATTGTTGCAATCTCGCATACATCTCGATTAATTGAAGACTCAATGTGCAACGCAGAACATATTATATAGAGATGGTACTGCCAAATTTCTTTTCTACCACGCAACAGATATCTTTTACAGGAATATTCAGCGACAATCGCTTGATTGTTGAACTATGACAAAGTCTTTATTTACCATTGTATCTGTACTTTTATTTGCTCGTTTTTTCCCATTCAATTCATAGAATACTTGTTTCGACGTTTGTTTCAGAATGACTACTTAGCGTTACTAAATACGTGGTGTCATTCGGTATCACATTTTTCTCATTTTTAACATGTCGACTAAGTCCCTGTTATCCTTGTCAATCAATACATTTTTATCATGTTTCCGTTGATTATAACAATTTGCTTCTAGCGGTAGCTCTTGAAGTATCTTAACTCATCCAATCACCAAGTGGTACTTATTTATTTATCTGTCTTAGGCCTTGTCTACACTACAAAAGTTAAAGGAGCTTTAAGGAATTCTATTGGCTAAAAGTTAGTTTAAGCCAATAGAATTGCTTAAAGCTCCTTTAACTTTTGTAGTGTAGACAAGGCCTTATTGACTGACTTTTCAACGCAACTATAAATATCTATGATTGATTCATGCAAACTATAAGACAATAATGCGCCAATTTTCATCGAAACATCTCAAACTACGGTATACTAATTAATGAACTACTGTTGAAAGCAATTATCATCTGAATAAGATAAGTTACAATGAATATCAAGACTAAGATCTTAACAGTCCTCCATTGTGGCAACATTGCTTTTCCAAGGATTGTCCTCCTCACTATTTTGTTGTCGTCTGCCATAGCGAAAGTTTAGTCCAAACTGGCTGTGAGAGATGAGTCAGCACGAGTAGTACTCGAGTACGAAATTTATAATACTCAGCACAAAATACCTGGTACTTGCACATCTCTCCTTTCTGTGTTCCGTACGAAAAGTTGTATAGCATTTGTTAAATGCCATCACATTATTCACATCACACGAAACGTCACCATAAACAGTTGTACGAAAGGCGATCGAACTTACTGATATATAATGAGAATGATGAAAAGAAAGTGATTTAACTATAAATTAAATAAGCGCTGATCGAATGTCTTTGGACGTTTTTTGACATTGCCAACCCCTTTATTTACCCTTCGTGCCAACAGTAATATGTACCATATGAATCTTACCCAACAAATTGCACGATATCTACCCTTCTGTAAATTTTAATTATTGGAAATATTATATTTAACAAACTACATTATGCTGAGAAACGCCTTCATTGGTTCAAAACCTGAGTCCTAAAAATGATAGTTTCTGCTAATGAGGGAACCTCAAGTGATTCATCGATTTTTTTCAGAATATACTAATTATTACAGATAATTTTTCATGTTGATCATAAATTTGATTTGCGTTTATCTCTATTGTTTCTTCTGCAATAAATCGATCTCTATAGAAGGACTTTCAACTGTGAACATGCTTAGCACATTGAGTTATCCCTGCATCTAAAAAGTGGAACCTTCTCATTTAATTATTTATTCTCGGTAGCATCGATTTTGAGTGGAGCACACTGCTGAATAACCACGAGTATCTACTTTTAGAATCTTTACGTTCTTCTATTCTAGAGCTTTTTTTTTCATGACTTTTGAACGAATTTTCCAGAGAATGTGGAAAAAAATCTTAAAATACTGCTGTTCTCCTCAGAAACTCCATCAACTGAATTTTCTGACAAACATAGATTTATACAGTAGGTTGTTCCTATAAAAATTAGACATCACAAAACTCTTTGTGGCCTTAACTCTAAAAAAAATGCGACTTATGATCAAATTAAGTCGCTTTAATGTGCCTTATTCTGTGAAAATAAGACATTAATGCGACTTAATTTGATCATAAGTCGCATTTTTTTTAGAGTGTTGTACTAGAGACCTAGAAGCATTCTTCTATGGATCTTAAGAATTTAACAATCAATAAACACACTCAAAATACGTTTTTCATGTGTGACTATTCGTATCTCTCAAAACTCTCTATCCAGTAGGATGTCATAGGGTTCGCAACAGTTTTACGATGAGGATAACACGTTCGGCTATAACGTACAAGAGCTAGATTTTTGAATATCAGCTCGATTTACGAAACGTCGTCTGAGTGAAGTGATAGTAACTAGAATGCGACTAAATCACCTAATTCGCCACCGGAGTGTGAGTGCGTTATCGTTTCTGCTCTTTTTGTTTGTAGTATAGTATTAAAGGAGAACATGTTACAATGTGAGGAACATCTCACTTTGTAGCCGAAAGTGTACTCTTCAAAATCCACTCTATGATCAGTTCGATTCACTTAATCTTTTTTGTCCTACAGTCGAAATGCTAATATCAGCAAGAAAAAGCAGATTTTAATTTTAAGCTTACTGTATTTTAATCATATTGCATAGAAGATTGAGTAAATTGAACTGATCATACACTGTAAGGTTGGAAATTATTTATGGAAAATGCTAGGCGAATTTCAAAGAGTACATATGGGAATTCCGTGGGGATTTTCCAGTTTATAGAAAATCGAATTTCCAACAATCTAGAAAATCGCCGTTGAA